GGCGCAGAGGGGCGGGGCGGACCCAGGTCCTGCTGGGAGGAAGCGAGACCCCGGTGTGGGCCCGTCTGCCGCCCTGACGGCCCCCTACCCGCTCGTGCGCGCGCGCGCATTGCGGCTGTGCTCCCTGGGGGAAAGGGCCAGGCGGGCCGCGAGATGGAAAGCGAGAGCGAGAGAGCAGGTGCTGCCGGTGCCCTGGGCCCTGCCACCTAGCTCACCGACTTAGTACTGCCTTCCGCTGCGCCTCAGAAGGGGACACGTGAGCAAGCCAGAACCCAACTTGCTGCCCTGAAGGCGATTCCGATTCATTGCCACCCCTCAAGTCTGGAGACGAAACCTTTCAACGAGCAGCCCCCCCCACCCCCTTTCCCTTGGAGCGCCAGTGCCTGGTGGGTTTCAGCTGCCTCCCTTGCCAGTGAGCAGCCCACGGCCAAACCCCACTGCCATGGGTCAGTCAGGACTCACGGCCACCCAGCAGAGGGGTTCTGAGACTGTACGTCCCCACGCAGGTGTAGTCTCATCTTTCTCCGGAACATTTGAACCTTGGGACTGGTACTGAGCAGGCGGCACCAGCAGAGCTCCTTAAAGATCCGATATAAGTATGTGGTCAACCTCTAACCACCTCCGGCTCACCTGTTGCCAGCACATGCCTCCACCTTCCGACTTCCTTTACCCCTATTCTGACCCCACTGGTAACTCCCCCCATACCCTCTTCTGCTGGGTTCCAGAATTCATTGCATTCCCCACACAGAATTCACAACTAAAACTCATGATTATGGGGAGCTGACAGCTTGCCCCAGTGAGGATCAGTCAACAGGATACAGCCATTGGTCCACAGCGGCCCCTCTTCTCAGCCACGTGCAAGTGTCTCTGGACCTCAGCCTCTCAGCCACATGCATAGTTAGTTACCTTGGCTCCTGTTTCTAAGCCCACCTGCCCCTCTTTCTGATATTCCCAGTCGCCTCAGTCCCTCCATTCTATCTCCATGTCTCCTTGCCTTGGCCTCTGCTCAGCCTGACTCCTCTACTCTGTCCTATGGTTTCTGGGCAGCAGCAGCTGGTCTCAGCCTTCCCCACTTCAGACAGAGATCTCAAACATGCTCCAGGGGGGGCTCTTCTTCTGATGGCTCCAGGATTTCGTCCATCCATCCATCCATCCATCCATCCATCCATCCATCCATCCAAGATGGCTTGTATAACATGGAGGAATGGCTTTGATGGAGGTGTGGTTTTTGTCCCTGAGTAGATCATGTTGTTGTCAGGTGTCGAGTTAGCTCCGACCCACAATGACCCTCTGCACAACAGAAGGAAACCCTGCCTGGTTCTGCCCCCTCCTCAGAAGAGATGTGATGCTTGACCATAACCACCAGGAAACCGAGGGTGGTGACTTCAGTTAACTTTAAGTAACTAGTGAGGTGGTGACTTAATCTTACCTGGATCCTGGAACAGAGAACTCCCTCCAAAATGGGATTACAGCCACCGGCACTGAGGCCAGAATCTATCATGCACCACATGGGAGATTTTGATGAGGAGGCCACGTTAATTGAGCACGTCTCAAAGCACTAGAAAATCTTGACTGATCGACCACTGAACTTGCTGCCTACTTGTCTGATAAACCTGCATAGCACCCTGTTAAAGGTGATCTGGGTTTTTATTCTCTGTTTCTAACTGTGTGTGTGTTTTGGGTAACAGGGTGTTGTTCAAGGCCGTGGCCTTTCAAAAGTCCATTGCCAGGTGGCACTGGGTATGTGGTAACCGCCAACATGTAGGCTTCTTAGAGTTTTTGTGTCCAGGATTTTGAACATGTTAGTGGGGAGGGACCAGTCAGTAGGGAAGGACATTGTGCTTAGAAAGTGGAGGGTCAACAGAAAGAAGGAACGCCCTCACTTAGGTGGGTTGTACCTGTAGCGAATGGACCAGAGACAGGAGCAACAGTTGTGAAGATGGTCTCAAGGTACCAAGTCACTTCCGTCTGGACAGCCCTTAACCTCCACAAGTGTTTTGCCATACTTGCTTTATTTATGCTTAGTGTTTTAAAAGTGAATTTCATATTTCACCCAAATACTTAACATTTGTGTCTCTAAAATGATACATCCCTCTTAACCGCTTGTGATTGTCCGCCTTAACGATCCTTTGACAAAATTTTAAAATCATGTGATCAGACAAGTACTTAGTATTCTAAGGACTTCCCCCAAATGTTTTCCACAGCTGATCTGTTCAAACCTAGTTGGAGTCATCTCTGTCTTCTGTCATATTGCTTACTTTAGGTTTTTGTTCATCTGCAATAGCCGCCACTTCCTTCCTCTGTCTGGTGGGTTCTTTGAGGAATTTCTTCTTACTTTAGGATTCCGGGCATGTCGTGCCCATGCAGCATCTATGCAAGATTTGGCAATGCAGCACTAGGTGCCCCTTGGTGTATTGGATTTGGAGGCTTTTCCTGTGAGGCTGGTCCCCCTGGACTCTGCTAGGGTGGAGGTGGGGTGTCTTGGTGGATCTGTGAGGGAAAGCTGTGGTCATTCGTGTCCTTCTGGACAGACTCAGCTATGCCAACCCGACCTCTGCCCCTGAAGGTGAGAGGCCTTGTGACCTGTCTGTAGAGACCCAGGGCCCTCATGATGTCCAGCCCTGAGCCCTTGAGGACAAAGTGCCCCCTCTCCCCCCGGCTCTGGGGAAGGTTGATCTCCTGGATTCTGGGCCATTTTTTGCCCCCCACCCCTTACCCCCTCCCACAACAAACCGTTTCTGTGTTATAGGTGCATCGAAACTGAGTGGCTGTCCAGCTACCCCCATCTTGGTAAGAAGTTTTGTTTCCCCAAGTCCCGGTCTCCCACCCAGGCTTATTGACAACTGCGGGTCCAGTGCCCCTGGCATCTCACAGATGGTGTCAGGAGCCATACTGGGGACTGACCCATGTAAACCACTTTGTAGTTATGGAAGCCCAGACACACGGGCTGGGGTCCAACTCTCAAATCTTCTGTTTAGGGGCTTGAAGATGTTGGTCAAGAGCTTTCTCTCATGACCCTTGGTTTACATGCAGAATGGGCGGGCTTCATTCTGGGAGGTGGGCTCCGGGTTTAGTGACATTTCTTGCCAAGCACAGGCAAGAACTGAATGTAGTGCTGTAAAAGATAAAATGTTAAGGCATTTGTTGGTGTTTAGGTTTTAGGTTTGGCTTAATGCTAAGCCCGTGGCTGTCAACCTTGAAGGCGGTGGTTCAAACCCACCCAGAGCATCCTGAGGAGACCCGATGGCAGACAGGGCAGTCTACTACTGTGAGGACCATGGCCCCCAAAGCTGTATGGGGCAGTTCTGCCCTGATCCAGGGTTGTGATGAATGGAAAACCCACTCAGCAGCACCCGACAACGGGTTCCAGGGAAAAGAACCTACATTTGAAAAATTCCGAAGTGGGGACAGGACAGGATAGCTCCCCCGATAGGCTACATGCTTTCACACACAGCTTAGTCAGCCACTGGGGACATCATTTATGCCAACTGCTAGACATGGCATGTGTGGTCACATCTGCCCTCCTCTGGCTTCCCTGTGGCATGCCTCCACACTCCATGCTCCTTTCCCTACTCTGACACCCCCCACCTCTGCCCCCACCCACACTCTGCTCCTGGGCTGAGCCAGATCCTTTGTGGCAGTGGCCACACAGTGCTCCCCGTGATGGGGAGTTCTGGGGCCAGGAGCCCCGGTGGCATCATCGAATGGTCACGCATTGGGCTGTTAGCTGTAAGGTGAGCACTTGGAAAGCACCAGACACCCTGCAGGAGAGAGACGAGGCATTCTGCTCCTGTAAAGAGTGACCGTCTCAGAAAGCTCAGAGGACCAGGTCTACCCTGTCCTAGAGGCCCACTGCGCCAGCATTGACTCAGTGGCAGTGAGAGTGAGTATGAGGGGAGTTGACAGGGAGGGTCAGTCAAAAGTAGGGGTGTGGTCATGAGTCCACAGCAGCACCTCTCTAGCCGCAGCCATGTGTCTCGTCCTCCGGCTCCCAGCCGCATGGTCCTTAGCCTTCTGCCTAGGTGGACTGTGGAGCCAGACCACCTTTGGCTCTGCCTCACAGTGCCATAGTCTCGGGGTCAGATGAGGAGAAGGTACCTCTAGCCTCGATCCACACTGTGCCATCTGTGTCTCTGGTGCCTCTAGCCTCGACCTCTGCCACTCCACACAGCGATCTGGAGCGTGCCCTCACCTTGCGGTGGTCCTGGGCTCGCACTCTGTCAGAGGTGGCTCTTTCACTCGGAGGAATGGCTTTGATGGAGGTGCAGTTTTTGTCTTTCAGCCGACCATAGTCCCAGAGGAAAAAAAAACATGGTGGCTTGAGTTACACCCTCCATAAAGGAGGGTTTCAAGATACATTCTATCTGGATCTTGTAACAGAGAAAGGAAAACAAAACTCACTGCCTTCAAGTCAATTCTGATTCATAGCGGCCCCATAGGACAGGGCATGACTGCCCCTGTGGGTTTCTGAGACTCGAACTCTGAATGAGAGTGGAGCGTCTCATCATTCTCCTATGGAGCAGCCGGTAGTTTTGAACCTTTGACCTTGTGGTCTGCAGGCCAACGCCTGACCACTATGCCACCATGGCTCCCTGTGATGATAGCTGCATGTACAGAGTCCAGAATTATAAATCACTTAAGGAAGTATGGCATGAAGGGCCATCTTAATTGACTGCATCTCACCATTTGATTTAATTGTCCAGGCTATCTTTAAGTTCTTATTTATTTTTTTAATATAATGTTCTTATTGACCCATCCTACCCTCATTCCAATATGCTCCTTCCTTTCCCATCCAAAGCTCTTAATTTCTACCGTGGCTCTCATGAACATGGCACCAGTTGTGTAGAGACCGTTTCAGAGAGCTACGTTATAAACAGGTCTGTGTTACCAGAACAGAAACAAATGTTTTGTTTTGCAGTTCCGTGGGAGTCAGGAGCAGAGCGACAATGGCATCAGTGAAATGGCCCTGAACGTGTCTCCTCTAAGGAGCCCTGGTGGTGCTTCAAGGCCAGCAGTCCTGGTGAAGCGTTTGGCTGCCAACCCAGAGGGTGGCAGTTCAGAAGCAACAGCCACACTGTGTGTGTGGGTGAAGGGTGGCAGTCCCAGCGGGGTGAGGATTCTCCTCTGTGTTGGGGGAATGCTGTGATTCGGAAATGGCTCTGCAGCTAGTTTGGTGGTTGGGGCCAGCAAGCAAGTGGTGTTGGGAGACAGAAGCTGGTTTTGTCAAGGGTTGCCTGCTGTGCACCTCCTCATTGCTGGCCAGGAGAGGTAGGGAGGTCCGGCCGATGGGGGAGCAAGAGGAAGTGTGCCACAGTGTCAGGGGAGACCTGCATGGCATGACACTCAGGAGTCCCTGGGTGGTGCTCACAGCGCCAGGCTGTGAACTGCAAAGCTGGCAGGATCGAGGCCACCCCGAGGCTCTGGGGAAGAAGGGCTGTTGGTCTGCTCTGGAGAAACCAGCACCTGAGGGGCTGGAGCCAGGTCCTGTCCTGATGTACAGGATCACTGGCTCATGATCAGTTTGATAGCAGTTGCCACTGGTGATGTTAATGGGCGCCATCCATAGAGACTGCTCTCCAAATGTGTTCTGTTCTGCACTCTCCAGTCCAGTAGCCCCTGGTCACACGTGACTGGTGTGACTGGAGGTGACCATTTTATTTAAGTAGCGGCTGCCACTCCAAGCAGCGTGCTTCTCTCCTGGATGCCACTGAGGCTATTCTGACCATTGAGGACGCTGTAGGACTGAGGGGACCTACCTCGAGGGGTGTCCTAAATGGAAAGGTGTCGTAGATGGTCACCTCTGTGGGAGCAGGTCTCCAGGCTTTTCCTTCTGTAGAGCCACTGGGTGGCTTCAAACAGCCACCCTTTCATGGACCAGCTGAGAGCGCAGCTGTGCCACGGGACAGCATCCTGGGCGGTCAGGCATAGGTTTGCATGTTGGCGGTTGAGAAAGAGCAGCTCATACACGCACGGGGCTCTTGGTGCCATGAAGCGCCTGATGCACCCTCCAGGGACTCTGGTGAGAGGCAGGCAGGTGCCCTGCTGTACACAGAGCTCTTGTGGAGTCACTGTCCACATTACAGAGCAATGAGGAACTTGCTGTGCTTCCTGGAGGTGGTGTGACTCCAGAGCACAGGGCATCTCCTCAGGCAAAGAGCTCTGGGCGAGTTGGCTGGGAAAGCAGACCTAGGTGTGGGGGCAGATGGATCAAGGGTGTCTACGTTGGGCTGTGGCCAGGGACAGATCCCCCATGAAACCAGGTAAGCACGTGCTTAAGGACAAAGCAAAGACCCACAGATGCCAGGCAAACAGTGGAAGGGGACTGGCAGGGCACAAAATGACACTGGTACCTTTTTACACATTCTGTGTGCAGTGACCATTGTGTTTTCCTTTTCCTCTGGGACTGGGTCTGACTTCACATTCATTCAGTTCTCTCTCAGTGACCCCTGTTGCTTGACGCTCTTTGTGATTCCTCTTGCCCCTGTCCTGTCTCAGCAGTCATCCAGGGAACTGTGAAGACACAGCACCAAAGGACAGGCGCTGTTAAGTGGGATTCTCAAGATAAAAGAAAGCACTTGTGGAGGCCTGGCCAACACACATCCATGCAGAGGGATGAGCTCATTTGCAACTGCCCTGTAAGTACTGCTTTTGACTGTCTCAGACATTCCATGTGCCAAACGTGTGCTTCTGTTTGTTTGCTTTGTTGCCAAAGTATTGATTGCCAACTTTAAAGTTAGGTTTTTTTTAAATCATTTTATTGGGGGCTCATACAACTCTTATCACAATCCATAGATACATCAATTGTGTAAAGCACATTTGTACATTCAATGCCCTTATCATTCTCAAAACATTTGCTCTCCACTTAAGCCCCTGGCATCAGCTCCTCATTTTTTCACCTCCCTCCCCGCTCTCCCCTCCCTCATGAACCCTTGATAATTTGTAAATTATTATTTTGTCATATCTTGCACTGTCCAACATCTCCCTTCACCCACTTTTCTGTGAAGTATACAACTTTCCTCTAGTTCCTAAATGCTTCCTTGCCCCCAATTCCCACGCCTCCACACTGTTATGATCCCAATTCTATCTGACAAATCTGGCTAGAGCAGAGGATGTACACTGGTACAGACAGCAACTGGAAACACAGGGAATCCAGGGCGGATAATCCCTTCAGGACCAGTGGTGAGAGTGGCGATACCAGGAGGGTGGAGGGAGTGGCGATACCAGGAGGGTGGAGGGAGAGTGGGTTGGAAAGGGGGAACCAATTACAAGGATCTACATGTGACCACCTCCCTGGGACATGGCCAACTTTAATGTTCTGTGTGGATGTCCAAATTCGAATTGTTTTATTTCATAAGCTTAACTTGTTTTATACATTTTATTTCTTTTTCAGTCAGTCATTCAAATTGTATTTGCCATGGTAGAACCACGTCTAAAATGTGATGTGATGTTATACCCAGGTGAGATGAAACGGCAACAGCTAAGTGGAGCGCTGAAACGCAAGCTCACGGAAGGGCCGAAGCACAGGGTCTGTGACTCCGTGGAGATGACTCCCAAGTCAACGTCCTGTGCACCGTGTCCTGAGCCCGAAGAGACTTCTTCCCTTGAGCGCTCGAGTGCACTGCGTGCTTCTCATCATGCTGGGACCGTCAGCGCTGAGATGACGAACAGCAATACCGATGGAAGGGAACCTGTGCCGCCCAGAGCAGTGACCCCTACTTGTCGTGAAAGAGCCAGCAACGGCATAGGAAGTGACACTGCTGTAGGGCCTGAAATGGTTTCGTCTGCAGACCTTGTGCGGAACAGAAGTACAGATCCTGCTTTGTGGAATCATTTTTCTCCTAATGATGTGAATTACTGGATTGTCAGAGGGCCGAGTGGTTGTCAGCATCACAATGGACCATTTGAAAACTCGTGTCGCAAATTTCTAGATGGTAAACAAACCAGGTTCTGTAGCCAGAATATATTTCTGGGGTGTAAAGCAAACGGAGAAAGTTACAAGAGGGAGTGGCTGCTGTACTCTCCATCAGTCGGCTCTGTGTATTGTTTTGTTTGCAAACTCTTCAGCCCTAAGTCATTTAATTCTCAGTTTGCTACGGATGGATTCAGCGACTGGCGCAACTCCAACATGATCGACAAGCACGAGAACAGCGCAGCGCACAGAGAGTGCATGTTGTCGTATCTGCACCGAAGGCAGGCTTTGAGCCCAGGTCGGGAACTGGGAACACCAGTCCATGAGGAGCGTCCGTATCGGAAGGCTGTTCTGCAACGTGTCGTGGCTGTCATCAAAACAATCGCTGACCTTGGACTACCTTTCCACGGACGAGAGGAGGAAGTGTTTGGGTCCCCACGAAATGGAAAGTTTTGGGGCTTACTTGAACTTGTTGCTCAGTTTGATCCATTTTTAGCAGGTCACATCTCAAAATACGGCGGCCCAGGAAAGGGCAGCCCGTCATGTGTGTCAGACACGATGTGTGAAGAACTCATCTACTTAATGATTGATAAAGTTCGGTCAGCTATTTCCAGGGAAATAAGTCTAGCTGGGTACTTCACTTTGCTTGTAGATTCCACTCCTGATCTTGCGACTTCAGATCGGCTGAGCGTTGTTGTACGGTATGTGTCTCCAACAGATGGAAAGCCCGTGGAGCGATTTATCACGTTCACTAGCCTGACAAGTAGTCATACCGGTGAAGAAGTTGCAAATAAAGTACTCCATGATCTACGTGAAGTGTGTAAAGTTGATTTTGCCAAGTGCAGAGGCCTGACCTATGATGATGCTGCCAGTATGTCAGAGTGCTACAGAGGCGTGCAGCAGAAACTCTTAGAGCATAATAAGTATGCCATTTCCATACCCTGTGCGGCACATTCACTTAATCTTATAGCACGGAGCGCAGTAGATTGCTGTCCAGAAGCAGTAGATTTTTTTTCCATGGTTCAGTTACTCGCCACGTTTTTCACCACCTCTCCACACCGGTGGGCAGTCCTCAAGAAATACCTAGGCAGCGATCGAGTATTAAAATGTCTTTCTCACACACACGGCGCTGTGCATGTGGTCGCAACGAGTGCCATCCTGGAATCGTACACGCAGATTCTAGAGGCCTTGGAAGATATTGCAGAGGACCCGGCACAAAAAGGAAATACCAAAAGAGAAGCTGCAAACCTCGCCAATAAGATGCAGAGGCTCGAGTGTGTGTTCATGTTGGTTTTGTGGAACAGTATTCTGCAGCATTTTCACTGGCTGAGCCAAGCTCTCCAAGATTCAGAGGTAAACTTACAGACATGCACACATCTCTACCAGTCGCTAACAGGGTATTCACAGAGCTTAAGACAAGATTTTGAGCGCTTTGAAAACACAGCGACACAAATCCTGCCAGATACCGATTATCAAGCAGTCCCCCGCCGCAGACGCCTTAGTAGGGAAGGAGGAAAAGATGCAGGTGCCCCAGAGGAGGCCGTGAGTGCCAGAGATCAGTTTCACACCGTCACATACAGCACTGTCATCGACGCCCTCGAATCTTGCATGAAAAGAAGGGCAGATACATATGAAGTTCTTTCCGATAGATTTTCTTTCTTAAACAGCATGGATCTACCTGATGAAGAATGCATGGCGGCAGCCAGGAAATTAGTGCAGGCTTATCCCGATGACTTGAATACAAACCTTTATGGAGAAGTGCGGCAATTTCATTCTTACATGAGGACTAAGTGTACCGACTTGGGCAGGACGAATTTCACTCACATGGCCCTGTATGACTCTATCATCAGCGATAAGATACAATGCGTATTTCCAAATGTTGAAATCGCTTTACGTATGTTCCTAACGTTAATGATCACAAACTGCACAGCAGAACGCTCATTTTCACCCCTAAAGAGACTCAAGAGCCCTCAGCCTACAGCGATGATTCCAGAAAGCCTCGATTGCTTTTCCTTGTTATGTATGGAAATAGATATTGTGCGGCAGCTTAATTCTGACGAGATCATCGAAGAATTTCTGAGAGCAAAGGATAAAAAGCAATGTTCTTAATTACAACACAGTAGAAGTGCTACAGGCCATTTTAACAATAAACTGAAGTGATTTGTAGTAACATTTGCTTCCTGATCATTACATTTTCTCTTATGGTCTCTTTTCATTTGGTCCGTTACAATGATAGCATTTGTTAGGAAATAGGCATCAAAATTGAATGTGAGTTGTGTAAAGCAAGATTTACAAAGGTAAATTTCCTACTGTGAGAGGTCATCAGATTTGTACCTGTCCAAAGTAACTCATTTTCTTGGCTTTGGAACATGTGGGCTATTATTTTTGTAGAAACTATGCTGTACTGTGAAAATCCTACTGTCTGCATCCACTGAAAATTTGAGAATCCAGTTCTTGTCCTGGCGCTAAAATGACATAGGTCACTTTTCTCTACCATAACACATTTTAGTCAAATTTTAAAAGGTATTACGTCGTGGAGACTGGACACACGTACATGCAGTGTAACTCACATATCCCTTTTGGATGAAGAAGCAGTGCTTGGGGCCCTCCCAGGCCTCCATCTGGCCCTGCTTACAACAGAGAAACTGGGCTCTGTGTGGCATGTGTTGTTCCAGGCATACGTTGACCTGGTTTGATGTTGCTGGCCCAGGCTGCGGCGGTAGAGCAGTTTCTCACTGCAGGCTGCCTGGGGGGCAGGTACAGGAATTACCTTCACAGCACTGTGATCCTAATGGGCTGAGAGGTGACTGGAGTCATCCTCTGGAGTCTGGTTTTTCCTCCAGGAGAGCAATGTTGGAGTGTGTGTGAGAAGCCGAGGCCGACTTGGGCAAGGCGAGCTATGTAAGGGATGAGTGCAGGGCACTGAGGAGAGAAGAGGAGCAGCGGAACGTGGGGTAGGATTACCTGGGGAGAGGGGACAGCCCCTAAAAGTTTCCCATATCACCTTCCGGGAGTTAGGCCAACATTCACGGATAAGGGCCCACTGCTCACAAGACTTCACTCATTCACTCACTTCAGACACCAGACTCAAGATCGAGGTCCTCAGGGTTAGGGTTAGGAGCTTCCCCAAGTTCACTGCCATTGGAAATCCTGTGCAGCTGTTCTACTCTGACACACACACCTGTTTTCCGTGAGGGCCTGCTGTAGAGTCACGGGTATGGATTAGGGTTTGGATTGGTTTGTTTGGTTTTCCCCAGCGCTGGAGCAGCAGCCATTCAAAATCTCTAGTACATCCTGTACTGCATTGAAAGTCGCTTCCTCGGAGAAGAGCCAGCAAGTTTCTCCTGAGTGCTCTGCTACCACCACAAGACTTCTTAAGCACAGTGCGCTTCAATCCCCAAGCTCATGGGTCACCTCATGGTGTGAGGAAGCCAACAGCCCAGGGGCGTGACACTGGGTTTTATCTGAGTCAGGCAGCAGTACCCTCATCGCCTCTCCTCATTCCCCATCCTGCTTTCTTAAACTGTCCATTTTATTCTTGCATCCTGATTGGTCCTTTATCCAGCATAGTGCACCCCATGATCCTAGGGGGCAGTGGTCTCACTATATGGGGCGGTGTCAGTTGATAGGTTATCCCAACATGACCTCTGGAATGAATGATGTCAGGTAATTTGGTCCTCCAAATTCCTAGTTTTCCTTGATATGACCGTGAGGTGGCATGGGGATGGGGTGGGATGGGGATGAGTCTTCTCCACATGACAGGTGGATGGATCAGGTGAGATAATTTAGGATAGGTCATTCAGAACCACAAAGGTCACTCAGGCCTTTAGGTGACCCTGACCCATACTCCCACAGAAGAGGAAGAAACTGAAGAACAGCACCTGAAGCATACAGTTATTAGGTCCATCAGGTGGGTTCTGACCAATAACAGGAGGAAACCTCACCATCATTAGAGTTGTTGCAGGCTCTTGTCAAGGGCCTTGCTCTGCGTCCCCCAAATGGGTGGTGGTTCTCCACGGGTTGGTCTCTCCTGATAGCATGTCTAAAACTCCCAAGATGAAGTCTCCACCAGGGAAATGGAAAAGTCCTGGAAGGCAGGCAGGTCGAGACTGTATTAAAGGGACAGGGTGGGAAACCACAAGGCTCCAGGAGGGAGAGGGAGAACTGGGAGCTGGGAGTGAGGAGAGAGAGGGAAGAGGAAGGTTGGCAAGAGACCCAGAAAAGGGAGCCAGACCAAATGAGAGAGGGAGTGAGTGGATGTGAGTAGCCCACACTGGGTCCTGAAGGCCAGCTCAGCTGGGGTGCTGTTTCCTTGCTGGGCTGTGTCCTGACCCTCAGTCCCAGGACATTGTGCTCTTCCCTCCCCTCTGCCCAGCAAGCAGCCATTTCTCCTGCCTCCCACAGAGGACTTTGTGGACTGCTGGAGGTAGGGAGCCTTCCCCAGACTTCGCAGCTACTGGGCTAACAACCCTGCTCTTTGCGTGGGGTGAGGGGGCAGTGACACGCTGATACGGAGCTGTGATCACAGACCGTGCATTGCCCAACGGTGGGTGAACCTTGGGCGTCTTTGGAAAGAGGCGGCGAGTACAGCACCAGTGGCTGCCCCTTTCCATGCGACCTTGGCCAGTACTTGCTGCAGTCCTGCTTCAGTATTCAGCATCCTGGTGGTTATCCCAGGGAAAATCGTCCTCCTAATTCCTGGGGAGCAAAGAAGGCACCTTCCCAAGGCCCCTCATTGGGTTTGGGGTGAGAGTTTGGGGAAATTGTAGGTTTGGAGCCATAGCTGCGGGGCTCGGGCTGGAGGAACTGGAAGGTTAAGGGTCCAGTCTTTCCCTGTCTCTACAGGGACCATCTGTACTTGGACAGCGCCCTTCACGTGGCGCGCGCCCGGAGTAAGGCCGGGACCCTTGGCGCCAGCCCTGCCCCCGTCCTAGGGCACTTCCTCCCGGGGGCGCCCGCTCCGCCCCCTCATCCACAGCCATGCGAGTCCCGCCCTCTCCTCCAGAGCAGTTCCTCCCCTCAGCGCCAGCCCCGCCCCGCCTCCACAATGGCTCCGCCCCTCGTCGCCGGGGTCCTTCCAAGTCTCCGGCGGCGGGGCTGTCCAGAGAGCTGCCTGACGCGCCCGAGGGATTTGCTGATCCCCCAGCTCCCGCGTACCCCTGTTCCGTTCAGAAGATCTTGGCGGGGGGCGGGGCCAGGGGGTGGACAGGCGTCATTCCCTTCTACCAACTGCAGGGCGGGCTTCCCACACTGGAGCTGGTGCAGGACGCCCCATGTTTAAGGTGACCAGATTTTAACATTGGTAAAGCGGGACACCATTGACGGGGGCCAGGGGGATGGGGGGGGAGTGTTCTTGATTAAAAATTTGGTCTATGTGGAGCAACAAAAATTTTCATAGAACCCCAAAATAGTATTGTAATATATTTTTTAAAATTTCAACCTAAGTACAGTTTACAAATATAATACATTAAGAATTATGTATAGTATTATTTTATTCTTTGGAATATTTCTCATTTGAGTGATTTTTTTTAGTAGATTGCTGTCGTTGTTTAAAAGGTCATGAAAATTTTTACAAGAATTTGTTAAATTATATTTCATACATAAAATGTCTTTCAAAGTCTCAACACTTAATTGTGAATTTTCTGATGTTCACACTTTATTTACCGTAGGAAAAACGCGTTCAGTCACAGCATTAGTTCCTGGTAAGGACAGCGCGTATTCCACAATTTTTAGTGCATTATTGTATGGAACATGGTTTGTTTCAAAATGATGAAATATTTCTAACCATTTGTTCTCTATTGTGATTTTTGCTGATGCCCAAGATTTAACCTTTTCCTTATCAATATATATTTTAATGATACCTCATTAAAAAGATCATTTTCGGAAATATTACTATATGGAAAAATTTGAGTAATATGATCGAATGATTTTTGCACATCATTCCAGTACTGTCTGCTAAATTCAAAAAAATTTATGTATTTATGAAATAAATAAATTACTTACCTAAATTATCTGAATAGCTGATTTGTTGACATCACTTGTTTAACTAGCACTGCACGCAGTATGATGTGTATCTTCTGAGAGACAGTTACAAAATGTTTTCGTCGTTGCCAACGCCAAAAAATGCTATTGTTCATTAAGTACAAACAATGGTGGTCGAATTCTAACAACTGATCAACAATGCGAACTTTGATAAGCAGTTCTCGATAATCAGTTCTCAACAATTATTTGTTATTATTAAAGTTTAACATTATAAAATTAACAAAAATAATATAAAACTCATATCCTGGTGAAATAGCCACATGGCAGCCGAAAACCGTATACTGTATTCCCTTTCCCTTCTCCCGCCATTCCCTAGCTTGTAGTGCATTCTTTCCAAAAATCGGGACTTTTTTAAAACGCTGCGGGACGCGGGACAAATTGTTAAAATTTGGGACTGTCCCGCCAAAAGCGGGACCTCTGGTCACCAGGAAGGGCCCGGGCCTGCCACAGATGCACGTGGGGGCCCAGTCGGGGTTTGGGCGCGTCTGGGGTCTGCTGCTCCATCCCCGGTTCTGAGATGTCGTGAGCTGCCGGGTCCCAGCGACCCCACAGAGGGGGTGAGCTCATGCCTCTTGGGAATTTGGCCGAGGGTCACTGTGGGACCACGGGGCGTTTGGAGAGCCCCAAAGATGACCTCAGGCCCCCTCTCTATCCAAACCGTAACCCGGTTCCCTAAGCTTACCCTAACCATTGATCCAGCGGGAAATGACCCCAAATTAAACTCCTGAACAGAACAAAAACAAAGTGAAGGCAGATCATCACCCCAAGAAGGGGTCTTAAGTGTGAGGCCACGAAACAATTCACCCGTGGCTCATTACCTAACATGGAGAGCAGAAAACTAGTACCCACATTGGGATTGGCAGCAGATAAAATCTCTCATTGACCCAGGCTGCACAGGAAAGGCCAACAACTGGCTTTTTGAAGTCGTGTATTAAGGCAAGCGGCCATCTAAGGAACTATTGATGACCGCAGCGGAGCCCTGGTGGCTGTGTGCTTTAGGGTTGGGTTGTTAACCACAAGGTCAGAAGTTTGAAACCATCAGTTGCTGCCTCTGGGGAAAGACGAGGCTTTATGCTTCACTAAAGAGTTGCAGTCTTGGAAACCCACAGGGGCAGTTCCGCTCCCTTCGA